AAATAGATGCTTGATGTTGGTGATGGGTATGGGTGTGTGTGTGTGTGTGTCTCCGTTCTCTTGAGGACCAGCCCAGTGAAGCTTCCAATGCTTTGCCCTGTTTTTTGCCACATCGTCTCCTGAACAACCATCTACTAAAGTCTGGACAGGTGGTGTCACTTATTCACTTCAGAAAATGCCTATATGTATTTGAATACCTTTGAAGTATTTTAGTATGAGATAGCTTAGGAGAAATGAGGAAAACAAACTGTGTTACTGTAAAAAAGGATAAAAAAATATTAGGCTACTGTAAAATTACCAGAGTTTCACACATATCAACTTTCATGAGTTATGTTGTGTTTTATGAAGGGTTTCAGATTGAATGGAAAAGTCCTTATTAAATACCTTTGTATGCCAAACACTGTGCTGAGATCTGGAAATACAAACAGATGAGTTTAAAATTACAATGAAATTATTCATCTGATCGACACTTTTTGAGCCTACTAGGAGCCAGGCATTGTTCTTTGTTAGGATTTATGTCCGAACCTCCTTATGAGACTGTTTTTCATTTAAACAAGCAAAGGAAGTAAGATCATTAATTTGCTCCATTCCCCCCCCAGTTAAGTTCCTTAACTTACTCTGCTTCACAGGCCTGGGGGGGGAGGGGGGTCAGTTGGCGTTCATTCTGATCCAACCCTAAATCAAGTGAGTCACCTCCTCCTGTTCACTCAGCTACTTATATTTCCTCCTGTAATCGCTTATATATGCCTCCATAATCCACCAAAATTTATTGAGCATTATGTCTTATAAGTTATTTGTAAGTTGGGTGAGTTCCAAAACAATGTTTTTCAGTCTCAAAACCTTCCATTCAGCACAACTTGACATTGGTATGCCTAAGTATTTTTAAACACCTGAAATAATATGAAGCTAACCAACTTGAAAAATATTTAATATTGTATTAAAATATTTATAGTTGCATTTTTGCTTTAAATATCCTAAAGTGTTTCCATAGTGCTTCTGTTGCATCCTTGCAATTATTCTCTTATACACTAAAACTACTAAACTAGTGGAATTTTGCCAAGGGCTTTCAACATAGTCCAATGGCAACATAACCAAAAGGCACAGCTTAAATTGGTTTACAGAATGAATGAGCTAGTTATCAGTGCCTAGAGCAGCTGAAGGCTGGGTACAATTAACAGCATTTGTCAACATTCACAGAATCCTCTATAGAACAAGCAGTCCCTACAGAGGACCAGCCTCCAGCTTCTGGCACCTTAAGATCCACATGACCGGGAAACAAAAAGCCAGCCTGAAGCCCATCACCAGGGAGCACAATGGTGCATTTTAGTGGTATTGGCATGATTATAATGCAACCTCTAATCAATGTCAATTATCTAGAACAATCCTGTTAACATGAGCATCATAACTGTTCAAACTATCATTGCTGGGATGTATAATCAGGCTTCTTTGGAACACTAACATTTTCCAATTCAAAACCTTAAAACATTACAATTTTAGGATGTAGATATGAAAAAGCCTGGTTCATTTAATTTTGAAATCTAAAAAGTTAAAAGTACATTGCATTCTGTTCTTTTGCTATTTGAACATATCTCCACTACTAACCACAAGCACTTTTACTTAGGCACATTGTTTAGAAACTTAATAATTTCTTCATGGAAATAAAATTCATTATACGTGAAATAACTGCACAGCCCATGCAAGTTCATTTTTGGATGCTGATAATACAAAGAAATCCAAAGGAAGTTTCATTAAATAAATTTATTTGTTAAAATAATTTAACTCCAAATACAACTGTTGAATTTGCATTGAGTTCTATGTACAATTCTTGTTTTATCCCAAACAGCGAGGTTTAACAACTGACATTGTTACAAAACAATAAACTGTTGTTCAATTTTAAATGGTCAGTTGTATTAGAGCTCAACAATTAACTGTGAACTATATTTAATTAATCTCTGGGAAACCCCAAATCAATAATGTTAAGTCTGTTTCCAAAACCCACTGCAGTCACTCTTGAAACCCTGATCAAGATTTAACATATGCACAATGACACAGATAAACAGAAAACAAAAACTCCCATCATCTTTTAACATTTGATTGGTTGGGGAACTTCACAATTAAAGCCTAACCAGCGCTAAGACAGAACACTGATCAGAACAAAATAAAAATAAGAATAATAAAAATCCACATACATACACACATGCACACATATTCTCACGTACATACAATCCTCTGAAAAACAAATGGCAGACATCTTTAGGCAACATTCTTTACACAGGAGAGCAGATAACAGTAGTTTTCCCATAAATAAGTGATGGCAACTGTGGTACTACTAGTCGGAAAAGCTAATTCTAATTGTACAAACCAAAGAAAAAAGTGATCAAAGCACCTTTCAAATGTTTAAGAAAGACTTTTGTGTAATACTTTTGATCAGATGCTGGCTTGTTTTGCACAGGCTGAACAAAATGAAAGGCAACAGTTACCATCACTATTACAGCTTACAAGAATTAAAATTGCAACATTAAAAGGAAAAAAATCAGTAAAACTTTAAAAAAAAATGCTGCTTTTGTAAGAAAGTAGAAAACCCTACAAGAACAGCTAAAGTAAAAGTGGGTCTTTGGATCAAACCATAATATTTTTAAGGCATGTTAGAAAAATTTCCATTGACAATAATTGCTAGTCTGATCAGGGTACAAAATAGAATGAGCCGAGGTTACTAACCTTTGCAGAAAGAGGTGGCCACTAATTCTTTCACGTGGCCCCTGAAGGTTAGTCTTCCTGTTCTCAAACTTTTTGCCAACATCTCACCAAATGTAACTATCATTCAATCAAGCCAAACTATGTTCTCACCAGATGGAATACCAAGAAAGCATCATAATTTGAGAACCACAAGACAGAGAGCACAACAGCATTTACATTTTTTGGTGACAATGGGTGTTGCTTTGTCACTAAACATGTAGGACTGTGATGAAACATATGACCAGATGGTCAATTTACTGATTACTAAGATGTGCACATTTAAAAGCCCATCTGACTTACTTAACAAACTCTTAACTACATGATTGAAAATTTTAGATAATCCTTTGCTCCTCAGAGTCTGTAAGACCCTTCATGCTATTTTTGCCCATTTCTATTGTCTGCATAGCAATCCATGGCATAAGACTGTAGGATCTTTATGGAGTATACTTAAATGCATTCTGAACTATCAATGATATTCAATTATTTGAATCTGGAAATACCTAAAATAGAAAAATTTTAAAAAGTTATAGGATGTGAAATCTAATTCACTGACAGTTATTTCTACTGCAGAGACAAGTAGTATTCCTTATCCCTTCAATTCCCCTGGACATTCAGGTCTTAAAATTGGGTTTAGTATAAAGGGCTGAAATTTTATATGAACAAGGTGCTTCAAAATTGAGGATGATGGAAACTACATGAAAAAAAGCAATTTGCTTTTGCAACTAAAAATTCAGAAAGACTGATTAGAACTAAACACTGATTTTAACACATGCATCCTTTCTCTTTTCTCAGAAGACAGGAAGTCTAACTGAGAATAATCTGACCAGGTCTTCTCTATCTGCTGAATTTCTGCCAATCACCAAACACTCTAATATAAATTAATCACATGAAACATGGGAGTTTTTTTATTCAAAAACTGCTCTAAAATAATTTAAAAAATAAAGCTAATATAGTCCTTGAGACAAATCTAAAGTACAGATTTTTAGAAGAGGCTAGTGTCTCTTAACTTTGTGCCAAATTTTGGAAGGCCACTAATATACATATGCACGCATACAAGGACACACCCTTTCAATTACCTAACAAAAAAACTACAGTTACTACATGAGATTGTGACACCAATGAAACACAGGGTGGCATGTAGACCACAGGCTCAGTGATTTTGCAGTTTTGAAGGCCAAATTCATCTACAGAGGGCCAACTCAAGATAATCTCTTCAGCATTTCAAACTCTGAAGCTTAAAACTAAAAAATCAGCTACACCTGATTGTAAAACTTTGAATAGGTATTTCTGTGCCATTAGTCATGCAAATGATAAATACTTCACGGCTATGAAAACTAAAAATGTCAGAGCTTGAGCACCTTTTCAAAACAAAATATTCACTCTCACTCTATTTGCCACTTCAGTAATCAGGGCAAAACTGTTGCAGGAGAACCTTTGTAGAGTACATCAGGAAAATTAGAGATAAAAGGTTTTTCATCCCTTACTCATTATCCTATAACTTATATCCTACCTTTAAGCCAGAATTGTTTCACATGGTTATTCAATTTTTTAAAATGTCAACATTAAAGCTCTGAAATAGCAAACTTGATTTTGAAAGAAAGTTAGCTTGGGATCACACCAAAAACCATAGCCCTTAAAGGCAAAAAAGAATTTGTTGTCTTAACAAACTCAAAAATGAAGAATGGTTGTACTGTCCCATGAGGTTTCTGCAAATGGGAACATCTGGATGCAACATGGCTTCATTTTCCTTACAAGATGGTACTAGTTAATCTACTAAAATGCTCCTTGTTAGTAAGGCTAAGCAATTTCTTTTCATCATAGTTGCTTCCTCCATGTTCAATAAAGTGATAAAGACATTTCCTGCTTTGTAAACAGAGGTTTGTTTGCTTATTTTTTTGTCTGAACAAAACCTGAAGAGATCTTCCATTTTCAGTAGCAAAACAGATGATTTAACACATTATAAAACCAGACTGCGTTTGCACAACCTGTTCAGATCTCTTCATTTTCAAGGACTGGTGCAGTGAGTTCCATGTCACAGACTAGGATAAAATATACAACTAACAGCATCGATTTTGCAAACAAGAAATAATATGCCAGCCTCGTAAAGAATGTCCCCTATAATGCTGTTAGCATTATGGTTGATCCTGCTTTACTTGACTGAGTTAACTTGGCCAGAAGCACTATTACAAGTCTTAAAATTCGGTATTTGTGTATTTTTCTCTTTAAAAAAACAAAAAAACAAAAAAAAACCAACAACAAAAAAAAACCAAAACAGAACAAATATTTTAATTGTGAATGATCATTGCAGGTCTTCTCATTTCTCCCTCAAGAATATTTCCAATTTATGTAATAGTTGCTGCTGTCTGGGACAATGCCAACATATCTTTCAAATGAGATCACCCTGTAGATTAACTGGCTATGCCTTCGAGTTGCAGGTGCATAAGGGAGACTGAGGACAGTAGTGAAAAATACAGTTACTGAACCCAAATATATTCAGAGACACTGATTGACAATCACTGCTTAGCTCTGAATAAGTATGTAACTTCACTGTAGATTCATTCCACACATCCTTGCAAATTGGGCAGTAAAGCAGACAGGATTTTACCACCTACAAAAGTTGAGTAAATTGTGTCCAGGACATGTCCACTTTTAAATGCTATTGTATGTTACACGCAGAACAGCATGGATCATCTTTGTCTGGCTGAGCGGCATAGTTCATTTGTCTAACAATTTCTGCAAAGAGCTCATCCACCATTGTTTTACTTTTAGCAGACGTCTCCATAAAGGGACAACCCCATTCTTCAGCCAAGGCTCTTCCCTCATTTGAAGATACTTCTCTCTCACTTTCCAGGTCCACTTTGTTCCCAACCAAGATTACTGGTACCTTCTCATATCTATGGAGAAAAAAAAAAAAAAGAAACACACATCATGAATTAATAAAAAGGTACACAGAAAAGGTGGGCTTTTTCTTTTTTTCTTTGCTTTTCTTTTTTGCACAAGGCAATCAGAGTTAAGTGACTTGTCCAGGATCATACAGGTAGTGTCAAGTGTCTGAGGCTAGATTTTAAATCAGGTCCTCCTGACTCCAGGTCCGGTGCCCCATCCCTCTACGCCACCTAGCTGCCCCCAGGTAGGTTTTATTTTTTCCTGCTTCAAACAAATCCTTTTTTTTTTTTAAGTGAGGCAATAGGGGTTAAGTGACTTGCCCAAGGTCACACAGCTAGTACGTGTCAAGTGTTTGGTCTGAGGCCGGATTTGAACTCAGGTCCTCCTGACTTCTGGGCCAGTGCTCTATCCACTGCGCCACCTAGCTGCCCCTCAAACAAATCCTCTTAACCACAATTAACAAATACCTTTTAAAAACATGGGTGGGTTAGAGCACTGGCCCTGGAGTCAGGAGGACCTGAGTTCAAATCCGGCTTCAGACCAAACACTTGACACTTACTAGCTGTGTGACCCTGTGCAAGTCACTTAACCCCAATTGCCTAAAAATTAAAAAAAAAAAAAAAAAAAAGCCAAACATGTGTGGAGTCTGGTACTTGCAAAACTTTGATTTAATGAATATCTGCAAGCTGCTTTATAGTAGGATTTATGAAACCTATTATTATTTAAATAAATAATGAACACCTAAAATCAACTGTTAGTTATACTTCCAATGTACAACAAAACTTCTTAATAAATCCTATTGTATAAACTAATTTCCCTTCAATCTCTAAGTAGTCAACCCAACCATCATGATTGACATCATAAATCAAATGTGTTATATATAAAGATTATTTAACTTAAAAATATGCTTAAAGCCATCTTTAATGATATACAAATGTCGACTGACAAATTTTTATTAGTTTATTCTCCACTCCCACTTCTAAATAAACATATATAGCAATAATAAGAATTTACTAATTTATTCTTGGTAAACTACATTTTGGTCATTTACAGCTGAGGAGTGTTAGCTATTATACTTTTTTCATGGAAGCTTACTGATTATTACTATTAATATCGTTCCAAAAAAATTCTAGTACAAATTCTTATCACAATGTAGAAATGGCCATGGGTTTTCCAAGGCTATGGCAGTAGAATTCAAATCCTGCCTTCTTTTATCAAATTGAGTCGAGTTCTACGAAGCTGAGTTTGGCCACTGTGACAGACTGTTAGCTACTGAGTGATAAATTCTTTGGCCGTGACATAGAATAGTAACATTACTATCATATAATTCACTGGATGGATCTTATCCATTCTATTCAGCTGCAGTGGACAGATATTTTACTCCAAGTCAACAATTCAATTCAACAAACACTAAGTATCTATTGTGTGTGGGGCTGAGGGTAAGATGATAAAAAAAATGTTCTCTGGCTTCAACAACCATTCTACTAGGAGGCTATGATGCATATAATCCATGTTTTAGAAAACACTAAAAAGTGAAGAGTAGGGACATCAGGAAGGGTCCCAAAAAGGAGGGGGCAGAGGCTGAGCAGTAGACCTACACAAATAGGGCCTTCTGAGGACAAATACAGATTGTTAGAGATGGAATGCCAGCGTCATAGATCATAAAGAGGGATAGTAGGCTAGTCTGTCTATTATAGAGTGAAATGAAGTCAGGTAAAATAACCAGCAGAGAAAGCGTGAAGAGTGTTTGGGGGCATCGCTGATAGGAAGGGCAGGAGATGGATGATGACACACCAAACTAGTCAGAAGAAGAACAGTGAGACAGGCAGGGGCAACAATAGCAGTCAGCAGTGTCATCAAAGTAAGCCAGAATGCAAGGGGTTTAGAAGTGAATGGGAAATGAAGTAGTGGTGGCGAGGATAGATGGCTCTTCATACATGACTAGAGAAAGTCAGCCCAAGGGGATGGCGGGATCAAATGAAGGGATTTTTAAGGATGAGAGAGGCCTAGCTAATGTTTGTAGGAAGCAGACAATGAGAAGAAAATAAAAATGAGGCCATTATAAAACACTTTAATATCTAGTCTAAGCAAAGCACTATGTCATGAATATAGGAGAGAAATACAAAAAGATTACAGGGGACTGGAGCCAAGATGGCAGAGTAAAAGCAGTGACTTGCTCGAGCTCTCCCCCAAATCCCTCCCAATACCTGAAAAAAACAAACAAAAACAGCTCTAAACAAATTCTAGAGCAGCAGAACCCACAAAAAGACAGAGTGAAACAAATTTCCAGCTCAAGACAACCTGGATGGTTGATCAGAAAGGTCTTCTGCGCTGGGCTGGGAGAGTAGCTCAGTTCAGTGTGGGCCAGGCAGGCAAAAACAGGACCTCAGAGAACCTGGAGCAGGCCTCAGGGGACTGAATCAAGGGAATCTGTGGTGGTTTCCAGACTCCTAAACCCACAAATGCCAAAGACAACAGGAAAGGTGTGTCTGACCGTGGTGAGAGATGAGCTTGGTCCCAGTCCCAGCACAACCCCAGGATGGCGGCTGCTTCCAGAGCACGCAGTCAGGGGAGATCAAGTGGCTGGTCGGGGGGGACAGCAGGGAGCTCTTTGCTGGTGCTGAGGCAGGATTCTCTTGCTTTGCCTGTGCTTGGGCCTGGGTCGCAGTTCTGGGTGGTGGTGCTGGGGCAAGGAGGAGCGCCGGCATGGTGGAGCTCCTAGTGGTAGTGAAGATGGAATCCTTCTCATAGATTCAAGGCAGAAAAGAATTCCTGTGGTCACTCACAGACCAGAGCCCAGGCCAGGAAAGGAGTAAACACCTCACCCTTGATCATATCACCTTGGAAGAACTGAAAATTTACAGGTCCCTAGAAGTATCTCTGAAAACAGCGGCACAAAACCCCTGAAGCTTGGGACAGTACATTCTCCACACTGGAAGCACACCGTAACAAAGAGTTTAAAACTCAAGTAATTAGCTGGGAACATGAGCAAAATGTGCAAAAGTCAGACCATAGAATCTTTGGTGACAAAGAAGATCAAAACATACAACTAGAAGAAGACAGCAAAGTCAAAGCCTCCAAGAAAAATATGAATTGGTCCCAGGCCATAGAAGAGCTCAAAAAGGATTTTGAGCAGCAAGTAAGAGAAGCAGAGGAAAAACTGGGATGAAAAATGAGAGTGATGCAAGAAAAACATGAAAAACAAATCAACAGCTTGCTAAAGGAGACCCCAAAAAACACTGAAGAAAGTAACACCTTAAAAAATAGACCAACTCATATGGCAAAAGGTGCAAAAAGCCGAGGAGAAGAATGCCTTAAAAAACAGAATTGGCCAAATGGAAAAGGAAGTCCAAAAGCTCACCGAAGAAAATACTTCCTTAAAAATTAGAAGGGAGCAAATGGAAGCTAGTAACTTTATGAGAAATCAAGAAATTGTAAAATAAAATCAAAAGAATGAAAAATAGATCCAGGAGAGGTAATTTAAAAATTATTGGACTATCCAAAAGCCATGACCAAAAAAAGAGCCTAGACATCATCTTTCAAGAAATTATCAAGGAAAACTGCCCTGATATTCTAGAACTAGAGGATAAAATAGAAATGGAAAGAATCCACCAATCATCTCCTGAAAGAGATCCCCAAAGGAAAACTCCTAGGAATATTATAGCCAAATTCCAGAGTTCCCAGATCAAGGCGAAAATATTGCAAGCAGCCAGAAAGAAACAATTCAAGTATTGTGGAAACACAATCAGGATAACACAAGATTTAGCAGCTTCTACATTAAGGGACTGGAGGGCTTGGAATATAATATTTCAGAGGTCAAAGGAGATCGGATTACAACCAAGAATCACCTACCCAGCAAAACTGTGTATAATCCTTCAGGGAAAAAAAAGGACATTCAGTGAAATAGAGGACTTTCAAGCATTCATGATGAAAAGACCAGAACTGAACAGAAAATTAGACTTCAAATACAAGATTCAAGAGGAACATAAAGAGATAAACAGGAAAGAGAAATCATAAGGGACTTATTAAAGTTGAACTGTTTACATTCCTGCATGGAAAGATGATATTTGTAACTCATGAGACCTTTGTCAGTATTAGGGTAGTTGGAGGGGAAAAAAAAAGTTATATGTATACACACACACACACACACACACACACACACACACACATATAAACATATATAGACAGAGGGCACAGGGTGAGTTGAAGATGAAGGGGTGTTATCTAAAAAATAAAATTAAGAGGTGAGAGAGGGTTATAATGGGAGGAGAAAAGGAGAGGTGGAATGGGTTAAATTATCTCACATAAAACAGACAAGAAAAAGCTTTTACAGTAGAGGTGAAGTGGGGGAAGGTGAGAGGGAATGAGTGAATCTTATTTTCATCGGGTTTGGCTTAAGGAGGAAATAACATACACACTCAATTGGGTATGAAAATCTGTCTTACCCTACAGGAAAACAGAAGGAGAAGGGGATAAGAGAAGGGGGTGACAAATTAGGGGAAGGGGTATTCAGAATGCATGCTGTATTGTGGTGGGGGGAGGGGCTTGGAACTCAAAATCCTGTGGAAGTGAATGTTGGAAACTAAAAATAAATTAATAAATGTTTAATATAAAAAAAAAGATTACAATATAATCAAGCTAAGACATACACAAAATCAAGCTAAGACATACAGAAAAGAAGAATGAGACAGCAGCTACTGATTATACATAGGATGCATGGGCGTATAGACATTTAATAATGGTATTCTGAATAATAACTAGGCCAAAGACAGATCATAGAAATAACTATTGTATGAAACTGAATGATATTGTGTCATAAGGAAAGATAATTAGGAGAATTCAGAAGCATAAGACTCACATGAACTCATGTAGGAAAAGAAAAGCAAAACCAGAAAAACAATATATACGACAATAAGAGTGTAAATGTAAAAACTTCCATAAAATGAGACCTAAAGCTGTGTGATTGTAATTACCAAACATAGCTATGGAGAAGAGTTGAGAAAATGTA